TGTAAATTCAAATACGTAATTTTTTAGTCTATGTATCCATTTGGGAAAATAATATTCATACCTCTATTAATATATTTGTTTATTTAAAGTAATATAAATTAAATATTTATTAAACTATCGTCATAAACATGAAATAAAAATGTATGGCGGTAATTGTGATAAAGTAAATGACTTTAGTTTTGTTGGAATAGTAAATAGGTAACCCTTTTATAGTGTGGCCCAAGTCGGTAGGTACTTACAGAATAAATAATAATACTTATTTGTTATAACTTATAGGCAATAGTTATTGTTCTATGACACCGATTTAAAATAAAAATAGATATAATACTATGGAATTGTAGAAAAAAAAACTTGATATTTTGAGCGTGGCAAGAAAACATTTTTAGGAAGTTGTATGCATCAGTTGAAGTCGTCAATTTCATTGACACCTCACAGATATTATGTAAAACCGTCCCTGACTCGAAGTTCGGTCTTTCGAAGAGATGAAGTATTCGCGAATCCATCCTCAATTTATATAACATAGACGAAATTCGGTATGTATAATACATAATATAGTAGTATATAGTACCTATAAATAACCTATAAAATTCGTCCACTAATTCACTCAATTAAACTTTAAATACTTATAAGTTACAAATGATAATAATTATAGGTAGGTACATAATATTATACTTGTCCGAAAAGATCACCCTTTAGGTATATATATAATAAACTATATTATTGTCTTTTGCCGTTATATCTACAATCTACTACCAGTGGCTACCACCGATTCGTTACTAATTAATACCTACTAATTATTAACATTGGGCTCATACTCGTATTATGCTTGTTCCGCTGTTGTGTTTGAAAAACAAATGTAAACATAATATTGTTTGTATTAAAACCACGGTCGTTTCTGTGTGATTTCAGCTGATTTTCGAAGAATTCCGACTGGGCACGCTGTACCTGGGCGAGTGCATCAGCGGCGAAATGCAAATACTCGAACTCGGCCGGCCTTACGTGGGCGGGTCGTGGTGCGGTTACGGGCCGACGGATGGCACAGCGCCAGCCGTGTACTACAGCGAGGCGGGCACGGTGACGCTCACTCTGCGGATACCTGTGAGCGGGCTGTACACGACCCTTCCGTTCGCGTTCGGGCTGCGGTTCAAGTTCCTGGACAACCGGCAGGCGTCGGTGAGGCTGGGCACGGCAGCTGAGCCCAAAGAGCGCGGCGAGCTGGTGCCCGGCACTCACTGCAGCCGCAACTTCTACGAGTGCTACCGGAAGAGGTGCTCGTTGCAGTCGCCCAACTACCCGGGCATGTACCCGCGGAACGTGACGTGCCGGTACACGGTCCGGCAGAAGGTGGTTCCCAAGTGCAAGCACGCTATGGTGTCAGTGACCCAAGGCCGGGGCAGCTCGGTACAACAGTCGCACAGGTCCGGCGGCGGCAGTAGGGGGCAGCAAGGGGAGGCCATGGGCACCGGCAACATGACGGCCATCATTCGCGTCAACGACATGTGCAGTGAGAACGAGGACCGGCTGGTGTTTCACGACGGGCCGTCCGAGGATGACCCTGTGCTGTTGCGGTATTGTGGTGGCCCGGCGCTGCCCCGAGTGGTGGCCAGTGGGCCCACCATGCTGGTCGTGTTCAAATCGTGGGTGCACAACTCGCCGGCCACTTTCTCGTGGCCACCGCCAGTGTCCCGGCTCCGGAGCTTCGAGCTGGACGTGCGCATAGCGTTCGTCGACTCGGACTCGCTGGATTACGCCAAGGGGCCAGCGTGCGAGTTCACCGTCAACGCGTCGGCCACGCCCAAGTCACGGCGCGGCGTGCTGGTCAGCCCCCGACACGCGGTACCGCCGAACAGCACGTGCACGTACAGGTTCCAGGGGCTGCCCGACGATCGGGTATGGATGTACTTCGAGAGCTACGGCCATCGGAGCACCGGCCATTTCCTCACGTTCAAGCCATGTCCGACCCGGCTCCGGATATGGGACGGCGCCGGCACGCTGTTGGGAGACCACTGCGACACGCCTAGGCTCTGCGAACACATTGCCACCACTGACGCGTCGTCTTCCGCGCCACTGAACGTCACGCGACCCAAGCGGCCATGTACGCTGGACGAGAGCTACCTGTCAAAGTCACCCAGCGTCATACTGCAGGTGCACTCGGTACTGGGCACAGTGCTGGAACCGTTTGGGTTCCGGCTGCACTACGAGTTCGTGGACAGCGGCGAGTACGACCGCGAGACTGATGGTGACGCGTGCGCCATGGACTATAGGGTGCGCGAGTCGATGGACCTGGCGGAACCACGAAACGTATTCTTGTATGGCAGGGGTGGTTCCAAGAGCCTGGACTGCGTGTACCGGCTACAAGCGGAACCCGGTTACCGGTTGCAAATCGTGGTACGTAACGCCTCGTTCGGATCACGCGAACATGCACCACAGCCCATCGCCAGGACGGTGACCGGAAAGTACGCTTGCCCACCCGACGATGGCGGGCCCAGGCTGGCGTTGAGCGAAGTGTTCTGGCGGACGGTGCGCGTGGAGCGTGGTTGCTTCTGCCAGAACTTCACGGAAGCCGCGTTGGGCACGCCACAGGTGACGTTCGACACGTCATCGGACCGCGTGGAAATACATTTCCACGTACCCGGGCTGGGCGTCACCGACGATTTTGTCAACACGTATTTCAGCGCTCACGTTCGCGTGCTACGGTGGCCGGCGTGCCCGCGCAAGCAGTGGGTCCGTGGTTCCGGCGGCGAGATCGAGCTCGCGTATCCACCGGAAGCGAGAGAAGACCTGCACTGCCGTGACGTTCCGTGGCTACTGGAGGCCCGGCCAGGCCATAGCATGTTCGTGCAGACGTGGGGCCGCTTCTTGCCAGTTAACGCGTCCGCCGCGACCCCATGCCGGACTAGGAACCGGATACTGCTGTATGCGGTCCGGCCGGAAGTCCGGTTGGTCGGCAACGTGTGCCCGGCGGAGGTGCGTGACGGCCGCCGAGACACGCTGTATATGTTTTCAGACGAGTGGACCGTCTTCGTGCCCGAAGACCAACAGAACCCCAGCTTCATGGTGGAGTTTGTGGCCCAAGACGCCGGTTCTATGGCGTTCAAGTGGCTGGAGGTGTCCAAGCCGTCCAAACGCGTGCAGACAACATCGCCGTCCATGCGCAACCAGTCCGGCGGCGGACCGCACCGCGGCTCGGGTTGCGCTTACGGCTGTCCCGAGCTGGAGGCGTGCATCAGCCCTACGCTATGGTGCGACGGCCACCGCAACTGTCCATCCGGCGTGGACGAGGCTGACCTCGAGTGCCAGACGAAGTGGCCGTCGTTCAAGGTGCTCAGGTCTTACGGGCTGCCGGTGGTGGGCCTGGGCCTGGCCGGCGTCGTCTTTGCCGTGCTAGCGTGCGTCTACTGCCGGAGGGAACCGGAATACAAACACTACGACGAACCCGAACCGGCCACCGACAACACCACCAGATCGTGTTCGACGATCGCCTCCTGACAACAGTCCTCGGTCGACACCGTTGACGTCGTCGACCGAGAAACGTGCGTTTGAAAACCACCACTCTTGCTCAAGCTGTACACCGTGGTGTTGTTTGATTTCTATTATAATTATTATTATCATTTCAAACGTGTGCGTGTATTCGGATACACGACGTTCTGTCCACAAACGTAGGTGCCTTATATTATGTTATTATTGTAATACCATATAATTTATGTTCTATCGATTATGTTCAGCGTGTTGCAAATAAGGATTTAGATAGAATTCACTGGCGGAAATCGGGGTGGGTGGGGGGTTTATATTTCAAGTTCATGCACTAAAAATTAATAAAAAATAATTTTAATGTTATCTATTTTTATAAGTAGTAAATAGGTACTGCAGTCAAAACGTAGAAAAGTACTATAATTATGTACAAAGGTATACTGTGTAGAATATCTTCTTAGCAATATTGATAAATATTTCAACAGAAAAAAAAATCATTGTTTTCCTCGAAGCGACCAACTGTCATTATTTAAAAATAAATTATGCTCCGATTTCCGTTTATGATACGTGTCAAATTTCAACTATAGTTTATTACAAGAAAAACACACTCATCTATCTAAAAAGAGACACAATTAAAAGAAAAAAAAAGAGTATGTACTGTAAATTCAGGAGGGTGTTAAATGTCGTATAAATAAAATGTTCACAGCAAGTGGACTTTATCCACATAGGCACTTACCTATAATTCTAATTCATAAAACTATCATTAAAATTGATCAGTATTCGGTATAGAACATAGACGGTTTTCGACTTGCATTGCATAGACGAGAATATTATACACAACAGAGTGTGTTAACTGTTAATAAGACCTCAAGAAATACATTTAAAAAAAAATTAATACAAATATTTTTAAATAATTTATAACTATTCGTCTTTTCGAATATAGACCAGCGTATGTATTATAATAAGACAGTTACAGTGTCCAATAGTAATTTCAGCACACTATTTATTAAATACATGAAGAATTATTAAATTTGCGCCAAATTAATGTGATACTGCCTTGACATTTTTTTGTTATTTATAATATTTTATTTACTATTATCACTATTACAAATAGAATTTTATTGAATTTCTGTCAAGCAGATAAAAAAAATTTAAAAAAGGGTTTTAACATTTAAAAATAAGCAATCCCAACCTTATACAAATATTATAAACAGTATAATATACATACATGCACACATAATATTATATTATTGTCATTTAACAATGTATACTAGTGTTACCATAGTATTTAAGAAAAAAGCACAAGTGTAATGATGTATTCCTTTAGTTTATAATAAATAATAATAATATGCACTGTTATAATAAATTTAAATATTTAGAAATAGATAGATGTATTATATTTCTACGAATATAAAGCAATATATTAAATTAAATTATATAAACTACCAAGTGTAATATTAAAAAATAAAAAAGATAAAACAATTATAAACGATACAATGTCTTAAATATAATAAGTACCTACATCAAATTTATTTCAATAACTGTGCTAGTTTACACACTTTACTATTGTTTTTCACCATATCAACTTTAGTTTCCCAAAGAATCTTGACTAGTTTCACATCATCTTTTTCATCCATAGCTATATCTTCTGATAGTTGTGGGCAAAACCTAAATACCAAAAATCAATGTTCAAATGTTCAGGAATATTAATGTGTACAAACAAAACAATTATCACCTGAAGAACTCAGTTTTTGTTTTGTAACACAATGACCTTGCTCTGTCTACAACACGACCGTCAGACTGGGTCGCTTGGTCAATGAGCAACAGACCTAACGCTGAGAATCCAAACACCAAACGCAAACTATCACTTACACTACTCGGTTTAAAAATGTCTAAATTCTTCACCTAAATCAAACAACAAATACTGTGATTAGAATATTATTGTTTGTATTCAAATTATATTATTATAATGAAAAAAACAGAACAATATAACATATTAATATTATTGAAAACTTCATTATAATAAAATTACAATATTAATTAAAACCCCAAACATTATTTACCTCAGTAACGGGTATGGATCCAGTTCCAACAGAAACTACAAGGCTTGGATCATGCATTTCATTAGCCCTGTTTGTTTTGTATAATGCTAAATTATATTCCTCAATTTCGGTTAATGTATCCAAAGTTGGGTTGTTTGAAATCAATCCTCCATCCAAAAAACGACCAAACATTCTAAAACATTTCAAATTGTCAATTAGTATAACTATTCCGTATACAAATTATATGGGAATAATAATAAATTAAAAAAATTATCACTGCTCTATGTATAACAATATTGTATAAATTATTAAACACATACTATGCATTTGAAATTAGCCCATTGGTATAGTGTATAATATGATAACATTAAAAAATAACAGCTTCAGTTAGTTTCAAAAGTATAGGTAATTATATAGGGTTTTTCAATAAGGACGCTCGATGTTTCACAGTGAAAAAAACAAGTTGTGTGTGAGATATATACTTAATTTTTATTTTATTTTAAAGAACGTTATATGGCAATTATTTGTGGAATATAACATCGTTCAAATGTCCGCCTCGGATTTGCTTGGTGGCACGTATTCGGGTGGTCCAATTTTCTATCACTTTGTTGCATAAATCTGGTTGAATTTGCTTGATGGTGTTGATTATGTTGACTTTGAGGGCATCAATTGTTTGTGGTTTATTTGCATAGACCTGCGATTTAAGATAGCCCCAAAGAAAAAAGTCTAGTGGCGTTAAATCGCACGATCTCGGAGGCCAGTTTATGTCACCATTGCGTGATATCACCATGCCCTCAAATCGTTCACGCAGAATGTCCATCGTTGCATGCGCTGTGTGACACGTAGCACCATCCTGCTGGAACCACATGTCCTCAGTATCCATATCATCGAACTTAGGCCAAACAAAGTTGTTGATCATTGATCTGTAGCGCTTGCCGTTGACGGTTATGGCAATGCCTGTTTCGTTTTGGAAGAAGAACGGACCAATGATTCCGCCAGACCAAAATCCGCACCAAACAGTGACCTTTTCGGGATGCATTTTGTTTTGGTGTGTCTTGTGTGGATTGGTATCACCTCAAATCCGACAATTTTGTTTGTTAACGTATCCATTCATCCAAAAATGGGCCTCGTCGCTAAAGATTATTTTTTTTAGCGAAGTTTGGATCAACTGCTAACTGCCCCAGAACCCAATCAGCGAATACACGACGTTGTGTATGGTCGTTTACCTTGAGTCCTTGTGTTAGTTGGATTTCATACGGGTGCAGACCCAAGTCTCGACACAAAATTCGAGGATAAAAATTGCGTAATGCGCGGAAAGTTTCTTAACGGAGCACTGATTTTTATAATAAAATTTAATTATACGCACACGTTGTTCTACGCTATAACCGTGCATGGTGATTTGCCATACGGTACTGAACAATTCACAACAATTATGCAGATAAGGCTTTATAATGACATTCCCGATATAACCGATCAAAGTTCGAGCGCCTCTATTGAAAAACCCGTTATATTAAAACGATAAATAATATAGAATTGTATATTCCAAAAATTAAAATTTATATATGAATCAATAAATATAATTTAGTCAAATTCTAATAATTTAAAATAGTGATAAATGTTATTGAACTTATTTAATTTTTTCTCTTGAACACAATAGAACTTTATAAACAAATAATTACCTAAAATATGAAGGTGCTGCACCACTTGCTCTTGCCGCTTTCCATGCTAACTGTTCATGAGGTGGCGGTGGAGGTGGATAATCACAAGGATGATCTAGATTAATCATGTCACTTGGTGATGTATAATTACGAAAAATGTGTAAGTCTACAGGTTTTCTGTCAGCTAACAAACCTGTGACTAAGATCCTGGAACAATTTAATTTTTTTTTCATAGTCCAAAGAAAATAGTAATATTCATAAATATAATTAAATCATTAAACTTTTTTTTTTCATCCAAAAATAAATTGGCAACAGTGGCCATTAGCAAAAACATTAAACATCTACAAAATAAGTCAACAAAAATCACATACTTAGGATGTTTTATATCACTCATATACGTATTTGCGCCCAATGTTTCTTGTAACATATTTTCCAATACCACACTTTGGTAAGGTTTACTACCTTGAAACACGAGTTGTTTAAGTCTAAAATATAAACACAAACACTCGTGCAATGATTTACCTAAAATGTAATTTATAAATAAGGGCATTAGTACTATTATAATATACAAAAGTTAACGTGAAGATCATGTGTTTCTTTATAGCTAACATAGTAAACTAAAAATGGTATATCCAGTACACTATAAATAAAAATATATATCTATTATTTTTTTGTTTAATAACAGGTCCAACAATATGAATCAAAAAAAAATCATTTTTTAAAAATTATAAAAAAAGACCAGATTATTTACAACTTGTATGTATTTTTTCCTTCTTTTTTGCTGGTTATAAAATTGTATACACATCATATTTTAACTTCACACAATTAATAAAACAAAATGGTTTATAAACTATAATAATATTACAATTTAATTACCACATGCAAGTCCCAAGGCTAAAATTCCACCAGTACTTGTGCCAGCTAACCAATCAAAACAATGAATAATAGGAACTTTAGTAGCATTTTCTATATGAAGTAAGACAGATATCAACACCAATCCTCTAATCCCGCCACCATCGAGGCATAAAACTCTGCCACCTCTATGATTCTTGTTAACATCTATTCTCTCATCCATGAGCTCTTCCATTGCGGTCACAATACATCTAACCTGTAAAATAAGAACTGTTTTAGTATTTAAAAACAACTATATTATGTGTATTTAAGGGTCCTGGTGCCAGTTTTTTAAATTTTCCACAATTCTATAAAATTTGAAAATTAAATTTTATATTTTAGTTACCACCTAAATTATAAGACTTTTCTAACTAATTTTTCTTTTCAATAATCTACTACCCTATACCTATTTAAGGAGGGTTGATGGGGTGTATAATATTATATCGAAAAAAAATGACTTTACGGGAATAACTCTCAAGCTTTGTAGAATTGTCGGATTTTTATGACTAATTTTTTATCTGAAAGAAGAAGACTTACTATAGCCAATCATCATTATCTGATTTTGTATTTTATTTCAAATAATTGTATTAAAAAATTTGTAAAAAAATGCTTTTTATCTAGTATTTATTTAGACATATTATAAAGTTTGAGAATAAAATATTGAAAAACAGAGATCGATACGGGCTGTAGAATATTTCCCTTAAGCAATTAAAAAAAAAATTATGAAATTTGGTTGATTTTACAAGGCGGTATCGTTATTCCCGCAGAGTGTATTTTAGAGGACCAAATGGCATCCCCATCGGGCGCCTTAGAGCTTAATGATTTGATCAATATTATTTTAAAATGAAAATATTAGCTTCCTTAGTAGGGTAGTCACCTATCCAAATAAAATAACGTATACAATTTGTCAAATCTCAAGAATTCAAAGTTCTAAATTTCGTATAAATACTTTTATTAAAATGTAATCACTGTTTTATGCAAATTAATTTAATATCATAACAATTTTAAATATTTTATCATTGGATCATATTTATTATAATTTAATTCGGGTCATTTTATATAAATATAAATTATTATATTTTTAGAATTACATAACTTTTTCCTAAGTTGTTAGTAACTTAGTAGGGGTTTTAATCGACAAACTTATAATTTAACTCAGTTACTAAATTTCTTAAGTATACATAACTAGTTAGAAATGATCACTAGCTTTCTCAGGCTTGATTTTTATCATTCTCATATGAGAACATACATTTTACCCACTCACCAATGTGTACAAAGCAAGGCTGGGATTTTTTTTTTAACTCAGTTAAGTTAATATGCATCAATAGCAAAAAGTTAAAAGATAAAAGTTAAGTTAAGAAAGGTGCTCTGCTGTACAGTAGGTTACAAGTGGGTCACTGTATAGTGGATGGTATTAAATTCGAATTCAATGATATAATATCATTGATATTTATAGAAAAAAAAACTTTATAGAAAAAAAAACTAAAAAAATTGAAAACGTAAACAGCTCAAAAAGAGTCAAAATATTTTGAAAATTTTATCAAGTATAAAAATTGATAAAATAAACATTCAGTGAAATTTTCATGTATCTACAGTTATTTGTTTTTGAATTACAACAAAATAAGGAAATCGCTACTTGAGAAATTGAGTGAATCCATTGTTCTAAAAATATGAATTTCAAACGATCTTAAAAATTTAATTTGACTTTCTTATAGACATTTTTTTTTTTGATAAAGGTAGATAATCTTATAAGGAATCTTGTATTATATTTTAAAATCTTAGATTTAAAAAGAAAAATTTTTACGAATTCTTAACTCAAAATAATTTGCTAATTTTTGTGATTTTTCCATATTTTGTCAATTTTTGAACTTTAAATGCTTATAAAAAAACCTGTAAATAAGGATTTTTAATATTTTTCATGTGTCTTTGAAGCAATATACTAGGAGCCTTCTATTAAATTTTTAAGCTTTTTAACCAACAAATAAAATTGTATTGATATTTTTAGAAAAAAAACTAAAAAAAAATGGAAAAAGAAAATGTCCCTAAACAGCTCAAAATAAATCAAAATATTTTGAAAATCTTATTGTGTATAGAAAATGCAAATATAAACAACCAGTGAAAATTTCATGTATCCACAGTCATTTGTTTTAAAGTTATACCAAAAACAAAATTCAATTTTGTGAGAAATCGATTTTGCGTAAGAATTCCCGTTTTTCCTTAATTTTTCTTTTGCTTTCTTGGCACTTTTGAAAATTACTGGGAATTTTAAATTTTGACCTCCCCAATGCACCAACGATATTCACTTTCCAATCGACCAAGAAACTAAAGTTGAAAATCGAAGCATTATTTCGACTACATATCGTGTACAGACACAAAAATACTGCTTACTTTTTATCCAACCCAAAACTAAATTATAGACTATATGGCTTATACATTGAACAGTATTTCCATATAAGTTAGATTCAAATGATATAAATTTTTAATTTTACACAATTCAAGGTAAATATTTTTTGACATGAAAACAAAATATATTAACTTAACTTAATTTATTTCTTAAAATGAAAAATTTATTCATTAATTTCCCATTATTAAAAAAGAAATTTTAGTAAGTTAACAGTAAAGTTAATGAAAATCCAAAAGTAAATTGTTAATGCCCAGCCTTGGTACAAAGACTTAAAATAGTCTACAGAGTGAAATAGGCACACTGGTACGTGTATATAATTACACACACTTTAACATTGTTTCCATCGGTTTCCATAGAAAGAACATATATTTTTTTTTAAATACATGTGAAATAAATACCAATAGTTAATACGTACTGGCATTGATACAGGTCTTTGAGGAGGTAAACCATTGAATTCGTTATTCCAAGCACATCCTTTTGTACACTGAGTTTCCAATAAAATATTTTGACACCGTTTTGCACCAACTGCATGTAAGATATAAACAATTTTATCAGAAATTTTATCTGGACCATTGTTGGTAGCAGCAATATGTCGCGATGATAGGCCTTTATTATTACTAAAAAAAAAAACAACAATTGTACATACTTTTTTAAACATAAATGAAGCATTCATTACATTTAAGGATGCATAAAAATGTGTTTAATATATAAATATTAAATTTAAAAAGTACACACATATAATCAACATCAGCTTCAAATGCTATAAGAGCATGAATTACTGGAACCAAATTGCTTTTGACGGCCAAATGAAGTGGTGTATTACCTTCTCGGTCAGGTATATTTACATTAGCTCCATTGCATAGAAGTCCCATAACACAATCAAATCTATTTCTCAAAACCTAAAACAAAAATAGTTTAACATAATCTATATGACTATATAAATTATAAATACAAAATACATGTTAATTATTTTTATTTATTTATTTAAGTTTTAAATGGGCCAGGCCAAATTTTACATATATAATAATAATAACAACAATCAATTGTTAACATACAGAAAGAGAAAAAACAATGATGTACAATATAAATTATGATATGATATACGTCTTGTATACTCCGGCCCACGAGAGATCAGTACCGTCACGCGCATGCAGAATGACAGGCAGCAACGGTGTGGAGCCCAATTTTCCCCACTATGTGCCGGAATGCCGCAATCGTCGCAATTGCCGACCGACACCGACAGTCGCCGAAAAGGCTGTGGTTGGTTGAGTGGGAGATGCGCGAAATCGGACGAGTTTTGGTCGAATAGCGGTACTGATCTCTCAAGGGCCGGAGTATAGCTAAGAATTAACAAGTAAGAAATTACAATAATTTTTGAATGAGTTGAAGTTTAGTGATATGAACAGATCAATATTTAATTTACTTAGTTTTCATAATTCTTTGATGGAGAGTATTGCTTTCATGGTTAGTTACTTTTGTGTTAAGATTAAAAGTGTTTTTAGACCGGGAGTTACGAGTTGAGGCATAGAAGGAGAAACGACTTATTAACTCGGACAGTCAATATTTCCTGTAAAAAGTTTATACAAAAAGTACAATTCTAATCGCAAACGGCGTTGTTCTAGTGTTTCGAGGTTACTATGAAACATTAAAATGAGAATAAATGTAAGAACTTTTGTTGAATTTTTTTAATGATATGCTTATGACCTGATTGATATGGAGACCATATTCTTGAGGCATATTCACAAATAGAACAAACTAAGCTGCAGTAAATGGGCTTTAAAGCTAATGAATCATCAAAATCAGCACAATTACGACCGATAAAATCAAGGATTTTATTTGACTTGTTATCAATATTGGTATTATGACAGACAAATTTCAGTTTGGGATCAATTAAATACTAAGATCTTTAATAGGCCCGATAATCCAAAATGGTGGTTCACCATTAAGATCATAATCAAATGAAGAAACTACTCAAGCTCTGGAAAATGTCATTATCTGGCATTTCTTAATAATAAGAGTAAAATTATTGTTAGTGCACCACTCATAGAGAGTATTTAAATCGAACTACAGTAAATCAGCCTCATTCTGGTTATTAACTATACAGAATATCTTTATATCATCGGCAAACATTAATTTAGTACAATTATGAATGTCATTAATAAAAATAAGGAATAACATTGGTGCTTATATAATAATATTACCATTATGTGAAGAGCAGTGCGGTTGTCAAAATTCAATGCATTCATATCGCAATTATTAGAAATTAAACTGTCAATTACTTCACGAGAACTTGACCAATGTAAAGGAGTTCCACCAAATTTCATATCCTAAATAAACCAATCAATACAGTTAAAAAAATATTTATAATTCATAACAGTTTAATAATAAAAAAAATTAAGATAGTTATTAAGAGGACTTAAATATATAATATACAGTAAGTACAATAGGTAATTTCTGATTTCACCAAAATTATAAGGTTAAAAAACTTCCATATAAAAAAAAAAATCAAAATATTATTTTTGGTATTTTGATAGGTAATATAAGATTTTAAGGTTTTGAAGTTTTTTTAATCTTATAACTTGGACAGAAAATTTGACCAACTTTTTTTTATAGTACCATCATTGGAAAACAGGAAAACACACATTTTGAAGAAAAAAGTTCATGATAATCGATTTCCATCTAAACTCCATAACTCCATTCCTTCTAATATTTCATACTTTCACCTATTAGTTATCTCTTAAATCACTAGGAAAACCCATGTTAAATAAACATATTATAGTTTTTATAAAAAAAGTATACTGTATACTTAAGTAAAATAAAAATGAATACAATATTACAATGATTTCTTTATAAACTTTTAATTTTGTTATCTTATTGTAAATAAAAATTATTGTACATGTGAATTGAAAGAATCCAGTACCTTTGGTATCTGAACCGTTATGGACTATGGTTAATACTCATATTATAAAAATAAACTATAAACTGAAAAAAAATGTATTATTTACTCGATTATTTATTTTAATTGCATTTTTTCTGTTCTTAATTTTATTAATAATCAAGACGTTTATTAGGTAAAAGTAAAATAGACATTATTATAATTATGTTGTGTTTTACTTATTTACAACAACGCTTGCTGTGGGCTGCTATCATGCCATTATACCTAAGTTATCCAAGGAATTATTATTGTTAGTATAAGAATAGATTTGAGAGAATATCATCCTAAAATAAGCTTTGGAGAAATCTCCACCTAATCACATAAGGAAAAAAACATTTTACGTAATTTTAAAGTTATAACTATGTTGGCTTAATAATAAAAAAAGTTCATGAAAAATTAACACCCCCCCCCCCACCCAAGTTCTACCAGGAGGGGCAATGGCCCACCCTGGCCCTCCCCTAAATAAGGGGCCTGCCCAAGCCTAAACCGTATCTGTAACATTACCAATTAAACCTTAAATAGAACTTATATGTAAGTCTAACAAGTTGAGTCTGTTAACCTTTATGGCTTTATGCAATGTTTTAATGTACTTACAGATAATAATTTGTCCTTACTTCAACAAATAATTTTTTATGATTATCCTGAAGATATTCTTTAACAATTCCAGGTAATTTGTTTTCGGATACATTAGTTACAGGAATTCCAGCCGGTATATTTACATCGGCCCCACAAACTAACAATTCTTTAACGCATTCTGGTTTGTCCGCTTGACACGCTAAGTGAAGGGGAGTAAATCCATTTATGTTACGATGGTTTAAGCATTTGGTGCTCACTTTAGATAAAACCTATAATATTTTTAAGTGATTATACTATTCATTTATATAAAAATACACTTATGACTTAACCAAAATTATATCACTACTAGATTTAGCAGCATAGTGAAAAACTGAATTGGCTTCATTATCCAAGTGCTCCAGTGAAACATCTAAAGCAATCAATGCTTTAACAATAACTAATGAATTGTCATAAATAGCTAATTGTAATGATGATATACCACTTTCAATATCTGGTGTATTTAAGTACCTGATAACATTTTAAATAACACAGTTACAATGTATTCATGTTAAGATGATAGTTCAACAGTTGTAGGTAAAAACTTACATCACAACATTTGGGTTGGATAAAATGTCCATCATTGCCAATCTCACAACCAGATGAGCGACATTCCATGTTGGGTGTTCAACAAGAGTATCACATAAATTTTGTATCACGGACAAACAATAGCACTACGCAATAAATATAATTTTGTTAGACAATTTAATATAGTTATTCCGTTGATATAATATACTTACATCCTTTGATATACTGAGAATTGCTGGTAATTTGTCTTTGAGTATACAAAATCTTATTTCTGAATCTTCTATACTCGATCCTCTGTATAAACTATTGAACCATATGGTTATAAATCTGTTAAGTTAATATTCTACTAATTTAAATAGTGCCAGACCTGTAAGAAGTAGTTAAGCTCTCAGCGCGCGACAAATGCAAGACAATTTCACTGACATTATTACTATCTACTCCATACAAAATAATCGGGTCATGACGACAGTGGACATTACGATTGGAATATTTTTCCGATTTTACTTCAATAACTTTATTGGGATTTTTATCCGGAGTAAAAAATACTTTTAACGTATTTAACCAAGACATTATGGTTAATATATGTTTGGTGAACACCTGCAACACTAGTTGTTCAGAAAACAATTACAGCACGTCCATATTAGTCACACTCGTATTTCCACAGAAAAAAGATCGAACAAAGGATTATAAGAGTATTACACTTTAATGAGAATTTCAAATAAACTTTGCATATTTTGGCATTTTGATACACTATCTCATTTTATTTTATTATCACACTTATCAACTCGATTAACTTGATAGAACATATTCTATGTTAATAATCAATAATGGGTGATAACAGTAATTAATATCATATTTGATAAGATCTTAAGTGTTAAATCATTCGAATTTAGTTTTAGTGAAATATTTTAAATCGCAAAAAATTATGATTCGTTCCAATTTTTGTCGATTAACTTCTTTAATTACGAATAAATGTGTTTTGAATCCAATAAAAACCTCCGCACTACATTCTCCGTTAAAATTTGCTATCCGTAAAACAACAACAGCCGTTCAAATTCGTTGTTATGCGTCATTGCCATCTGTACAAAACAACTGTGAGAAACAATCTGAAAATGAACCTACTGGTAAAATGCAGATACATTTTACTTGTACAGTGTGCAACACAAGGAATAGTAGAAAGTTTTCAAAACTTTCATACGAAAAAGGAATTGTGATCGTAGAATGCGACGGCTGCAGTAACAACCATTTGATAGCTGATAACCTGGGATGGTTTCCAGATACAGGATGTAAAAATATTGAAGAAATACTATCTTCCAAAGGCGAAAAGGTCAAACGAATAAATGGATGTTGGGAATTAAGGTCAAAATGATGAGAAAATATATTAAAATAAAACTAACTTGTAAATAATAAACATGTTATGAAATCTTATACTCAAATGTAAACATTCGTTATTAAATAATATTAATAAATGTATTCTTTAAAAAAAAAAAAAAATAAATAAAAACCTTTAATATGTAATGAACAGTTTGTAAATAGTTTCTATGTAATGAGTAATTATTTTCTAGACTTTGCTTTTGTTTTACGCTTTGCTGCTATTGGTTTGACTTCTTCTTTTTCAGACACTGGGGTGTCCTGAATATCATCGGCCAAGTCTCCAGATTCTTGGTTTTTCTCATCTTCTACAGGCGGGCTCTTCTGTTGTACTTCTTCTTCATCGAAGTCTTCAACTTTTGCCTTACGACCTCCACGTTTTGGTGCTTTAGTTTCTTTGAAGTTGTTATCTTTTTGATCAAGATCAACCTGTTTGAATTTGCGCTCACGTTTTGGTTTTATTTCTGGAGACTTATTGGAATCATCAGTCTCGTTTATTTCACTAGACTCTTCAGATACTTCAGATGACTTAATATTTTTTTTGGTTTTAGGAACAGTTTTCGTTTTTTTTTCCAAATCTTTTTCACTGTTTTGTTTAACCATAACTTTTGGAGCTGCTCGGCTTCTACTTGAAGGTTTAGACACCTTTTCTTCCTGGTTTTCTTCTTCTTCATCTTCATCCAAAGGTTCCTATAAAATCAAATCAATAAAAAATAATCAGAAATATAAGTTAATGAAACCATTTAATTTTTTCATTGTTATAATAATATTGTAAAAATATATATTATAATAATTTAAGAATAGGTGACTTTGATAAATGGGTACAATACACCATCTACCACACTTGGTGGCTTAGTATGGTATCTGCAAAAAATATAGGTGTTTACCGATATCTATTTCATACTTGTTTATATTATAACATTTTGCAATTAAGATTAGGATTTTTACAACAAACACAAAATTAGTCTGTCAGCCTGTGTTAGTGAGTTGTGGAGTATTTGTGGTTATTTCTTAATTATTAATATAAATGTGAATTAATATGAATTACACGAGGTGCTACTGACATAATATAATAATTTCATTTTTCAACTCTAGGTAGAGATGATGCTTAAAAAAATTTATATAATGGAAAAACAGTATAATAAAAATTAATACAATTTTCATTTATACATACCATATGGTACGAGTACCAACAAATGAATGAAATGTAACGAAATTCAACCATTACAGTGTATGGTGAATTGTATCAGGAAGTTAAAAATTAAACTAAATTATTGAATATTACTGAGACTGGGATTTCGATACACTTTGAATTGTTTTCCGAATCTAGCTATGTGATGCTTGTTTTATAATATACACTGTTCATGTGTTTTTAAATCAGAATAAGAATCTTATATTTCACATTTTAGACAATTTTAAATTTTAAGAATATTTTCATTTTTAAAGCATTTTAGGACTTCTGAGACATTTTTGAAGTCTGAATTTAAAATCGTAATTAAATATTTTTATATAAATTTACAAACTTAACTATATACAGGTACATAAATATATAATCTAAACTTATATGTAAAAAAAATTAAAGTTTAAATGATCTATCTGTAAAACTATTTTACAATCCTTTAAAATGTATATTGTAATTGAAACCAAATTTATATTTAATTTAAATCGAAATTATTAACATAATTTTTAGGTCAATGAAATCCAAGCCCTAATTATAACACACAAGCACACCTTCCCAAAAACAGCAATAACTGAGTAACACAACTAAAAATGTTAAAATTATCACTTCAATATATAAAATTAAAATAAATTCTAGAGGTGTTCCGGGTACCCGATATCATATTCAGTACCCGACCAATACTCGTTACCCGGCGTGTAATTAAAAGTTGACTTGGACAGTACCCGGTGTCCAGTTACATTTTTTCCTAGCAATATATCCAGTGCCTGGTACCCGATTAATTTATTAATTAAAAAAAAAATGTGTCCCCACAATCGACCAAACAAAAATATATAATTTTTGCTATACATATTATGCAAAACTTTCTAAAAAATTTAACCATCATAAAAACACATTCAAACAGTTAACAGATAATTTCCATCAAGTTTCGATTGATTTTTATCTTTTAAAAGACATTATTATTTATTACTCGACCAGTACTCGAGACTCGGTTTAAACAAAAATTATTAATCGACTTGTACTCGACTTGGTTTTAACAAAAATTATTACTCGACCAGTACTCGAGACTAGGTTTTAACAAAAATTATTACTCAATTAGTACCCTGGACTCGATTTTAACGGAAATTTGTACTCGGCCAATACTCGGTACCCGGGTTGTTGGTAAAAAATCTACCAGGAACACCCCTCTAATAAATTCTATAGGGATCATATTCAGTCATAATAAAATAACTGTAAGGCATATCTGGTCCGAACAGCTATTTTTTTTCAGTAGATTACTATATGAGTGAATCTCTATAAAATATGTAATCTAAAGTTTAAATAAAAATAATCTTACGTCTATTTTGACCTTTTTAATGGCTCGTTTAGATTTTGGTTTTTCTTCATTGCTATTTAAGGCTGCTTCAACATCATTTTGTTCTGTTGTAACTACATTTTCCTTTTCTTCGTTTGGTACTTTTTTTGTATTTTTTTTCCCCTTGGAATTCTTTTCGACAATTTTTGTTTCATCATCTTTTATTTCCATTATTTTAGGTTGATCTTCTTTCTTTGTTCCTTTTTTTTGTTTTTTTAGTGCATCATCTTCAGTTACAGTAATTGCAGCTTTAGATGATTTACTATTGATCTTTTTTTTAGTTACTTTATCTGAAGGAAAACTTGAGGTTTCAGACGTCAGTATATCCACACTAGCGGCTCTTCTATTTCTTTTTGGTAGTTCGTTTAAAGGAGAAACTGGTTTTAGAGACTCTGGTAAATTTTTATCAACCGGTCTTTTTCGACTTTTGCTAACTACCTTTTCTTCAACTTTCAACACTTGCCTTTCTTCGCTAGCAGCCCTTTTCCTAGTTCTTAGAACTTTGGTATCTTCAACTGTTTGTTTTTTGGACTTAAGTTTTGTTTTGGTAACCTTCTTTTGAACAGGTTTTTTGATCGATTCTGTTTCATCTATAGCTAGATCTGATTCAGATTCTAAATCTGTTACTTTAGGTTTAAAATCAGGGATTTCTTCTAAAACAACTGTAATGTTCATATTTTTATTTTCTTCTAAAACAGGTAGAAGATCTTTGTCATCTATTTGAATCACGTTATCTTCAACCATGTTATCTGTAATAATTGTAAGTAAAAATTAAAGTAACACACAGAAATAAATAATGAGAAAACGTCCCCAAAAAAGTATACTAATAATCAGTGGTCGGGAGTAGCGCGCTAATTGTAGCACGCTACTTTAGGTGTAGCGATTAACATAGCGTCGCTACAGTATATACAGTAGAGAAATACTATAGCACGCTAGAAATTTATGGTTAGCGTAGCGAAAATGTTCATTATTTTATCGCTACTCCTAACCTATTTCATGATAATTAAAATATTATGATGTATATTTATTTATTTAATTAAGATTTGATTTTTTCGGGTTTAGCCCAGACCAGACTAAGATACGACCGGATAGATAAAACTATAATCATAAGTGCATTATTACAATGTAATATTTTATATTATTAAAAACAGAACCATAAATAATAATTAATATATTAGTATTTAATTATCACTATTTTTGTTTTCGGCATTCAGCGTTTTCTACTTTTCTGTGTTTCTTTTAAGTTTTAAATATTTTGATTAGTTGAATTAAAAATGACAGAACCTGAAGCCACCACGTCATATTCAACTAGTTAGCAATTTTCAATAAAACATTTATTTGTTTTGATTTTTGTTACAAAAATACATGAGTTACACTTAATAAACCTGCCTTCCGAAATTACAAGAAAATAGTGGTAGGCATTAACAAATAATGACCAAGTACTCAAGTGAATATCTAAATAAACAAAAAAAATTTAAAAAAAAAATGTAGCGAAAAAGTAGCACGCTACAATAAACAATAGCGTTAGAAATAGCGCACTACATTTAAAAAAAGTAGCTTTAGCGATAGCGAGCTACTTTTTTGGGGAGTAACAGTAGCGTTAGCGTGCTACAAAAAAACAGTAGCGTCCCGACCACTGCTAATAATCCAGTCTAAAATAATTAACTTAAAAGACATAAGAAATGTAAAACAACTGTATTACATTATAGTCCCGAGCAACTGCCATCCACTTTAATAAATTATAGTTTGTAGATGTAAACAAGGCTGGGCAAGTTAGATTTTTTAAACTCAGTTAAGTTAAGTTAATATGCATCAATAACACAAAGTTAAAAGTTAGAAGTTAATACACAATTTTTGTTAACTTTTTATTAAGTAAAAAAAAGTTAATTTGCTTATACAAGGCAAGAGTACTTAATTTTTTTCCAACCCAAAACTAAATTATAGACTATACTGTTTATACTTTATACAGTATTTTCATATAAGTTAGATTCGAATGATATACATTTTTAACTTTAAACAATTCAAGGTAAATATTTTTTGACATGAAAAAGAAAGACTGAAATATAATAAATTTAAAGACAAGATAAATTAACTTAACTAGTAACTACCTACTTCTTAAAACGAAAAATGAATTCGTTAATTTCAAGTTAATTAAAAATGAAATTTAGTAAGTTAACAGTTAAGTTAATGATAAGCCAAAAGTACCTAGTTAAGTTGAAAATTTAAAATTAAATTAACTTTTCAACTTAACTTTAACTAATTAACTCGTTAATGCCCAGCCTTGGATGTAAACACTTTCACTATTATTTACAAATCTTAAGACAAATTTATTCTGATTTTACTTGTTACACAAAACAAACAGTAAACTCTCGATTATCCGTGGTTTAAAAATAGTGTTTTTATGTACAATATAATATGTAGGAACTGGTTTAGTTGACTCTACTATATCTAATCATCATACTGCATTTATACCTATTTGTGAAAAAATAGATGTAAACTTAATGTTTAAATAAAAATATGTGTACTTATCTAATTTTCTTTAAAAACTATTTAATATTAGGTACATAATATAATTTTTTCTAAATAATATAATTTTTGTTTTAGTTTTGCTGATTAACTACGGAATTTGTTTATCCATGGTTACCATGCCACCTTATTCCGCGGATAGTTGAGAGTTTACTGTATACCCTACATTAAAATAAAGCAAATAGGCAAATACCTAATAATAAGATAAAAGTTGTTAAGTGTAAGCTTTTAGATTAATTACTTATGAACAGTTTTATATTTTATATTTATTAAGTATAAGTTAACATTTTTACATGAAGGTATGTGTACAACCAATAACAATCATCTTAAAAAGGGAACAAGGACTTATACAATCCCCCCCTCCTTCCCTATATTTATTTAAATTTTTAATGAGAATTACATCACCAAAATATACTAATACATGAAATAAAAATAAAAATTTTTAGAAACTGGTATTATAATAGTACCTTCAGGCTAAATGTATGTTACTTTCCCATAGTGAATTATATATTGTCTGATGTTTAACACCAATCACTTTAGAACAGTTTTAGTTATTGAATACAATCAAAAGGTGAGTAAATATTTTAAATATTGTGGTGTTTATTAACATTTTATTTTAAGCCATTATTTTTAAGAAACTTGGATTGAATGTTTAAGGATTTATTGAATTTTCTGGTTGCCTATTATGACATCAAGTTCATCTTTAACCCATTAAAGGTTAAAAACTATTAACTAATAAACATTTCAGACATTTTAGATTCTGAGTAGAACGATGAATGTATTCATTTAACAATGATGTGTTTTTTTTATTTTTGTGTCTGACATCACGGTTTAGGGCAGTAAAACTGCTTCGATTTTTTTTAACAGTATCTTGTTTGATGGGAAAGTGAATCTAGTTGGTGCATTCGGGAGGTCTAAAATTTTAAAATTCCCAATAGTTTTTACAAGCGCCGGGAAAAAAAACGGGAATTATTAAGCAAAATAGGTTTTTGACAAAATCAATTTTGGCTTTTGGTGTAACTCTAAAACAAATGATCGTAAATATATAAAATGTTCACCGAATGTTTATATTAGCCTTTTCTATACATGAAACAATTTTGACTTGTTTTGAGCTGTATACGGATATACTCAGTTTCAATTTTTTTTATTTTTAGAATAATTCTAATTTCTATTTCATAGAATAACTATTTTAGTTATTTTGTTGTGATTGTATAATATTATTCGTGGGTACTTGAAACTTTTAAAGTGTACTATTATATATCTATGATAGTATCACGGTTTGTTATTGATGTATAAGACGTTATAAGTACCTATTATGGATATTGTGATATGATTAATTTGGAATTTATTATAGGTACCTATTATAGGTCAATTTTTTTTTTTAATACCATAGATATGTATATAATATGTCTTAAACCTAGACTGATATACCGTCTACGCTCAGAATCTTTTTTCTTATACAATGATATTATATCATTGAATTCAAATTTAATACCATCCATTATACATTGACCCACTTGTAACCTACTGTACAGCAGAGCACCTTTTTTTTTTTTTTTTTATGTTTAAAGTGAAGGTCAGTTTATAAATTAATTATTTAGGTTTAGTTTTTTTATTTTATTTTTGTAGTTTAATAGCTTACACCTGCTTAAAATAAAGCAATATAAATTGTATGCAGAAAAGGGTTTAATACTGACATAAGTACAATGTAATGGTCAGTGGTGTTGCGAACAAAGTTTGGCACGGGAGAAATTTTCGATGGCTGCCGAAAAACTTTCATGTGTCCGTATATATTTATATCTCTTGCAAGCAACAGCATATTAACCGGACATATTAAATCTTTCAAGCAATATGAAGTAAAATATTTTGAACAATAAATAAAAGATGATTTTTTTACATTGTTATCATTAATTTTTCATTTATATTTTGTAAAAATCCTGTCCTAACACAACTAATGAAAACACTGCTGAATTTTTTTTTTTTTAATTGTTTCATAAATTGACATGTTGACCAAATCCTATTTGCCATCCTCGGTGTAACTTGTGACATTTATTTATGCCCAATAAGTAGGTACTGGGATGTACTTGGGAATTAGTTATTCATAACATTTAATAGGTTACAAAAATACTTTACCTAAATAGTAGTTATTTACAAGAATATTTTAAATTATATTATGTTCACATTAGATTGTTAGAATGCATATACAGGATGTCCCGTGAGGATTTACTCATTGCAATATCTCCTGAAATAATGGAGATATCGTAATTATGTTTTTTTATTAAGACTCGCAGAGGTAAGCACTACAAATATTTTATTTTTTAATTAAATTAAATTTTTTAGTAAAAAAGTTAAAAAAGTTAAAAAAATTATTTTTTTATTTTTGAAGAAATTGAAGATAGCCATTCTATAGAGTATATTTTTGTGAACATTTTGAGTTTTTAACATTTTATTTTCATTAATCTCATGATTTTTAATAATTTTTTTAGTTTATTAGTAAAACGTCAATAAACTGGTTTTGGTCCGGGCGGCGAGTCCCCCTCTACGGCTAATGAGTAAATCCTCACGGGACACCCTATATATGAAATTATATCAAAATTGATTAGGTACCAAAATTAAAACGGGATATATAAAAATATAAGTATAAAACTTTTGATATTATGCAATAATGCCTATATAATGTAATATTAGTGGATTAGAAATATTAAATAGTATTATAATTTGATGTTTTCAAACAAGAATTTTGTATTTAATTAAAGGTGGCTATAGCTGGGATGTCTATGACTTCCAAAACCGTTCACAATTTTATGACATTCAAGCATGAAATAGTATATTGTATAACACTATTTGGTAACAAAAAGGATTTTAGACACAGGTATATTATAATTTTAATACATTGACTGCCATTCAGTCGACGGCGGCCACACTGTTGTTTATTATTATGAAACAGTCTGGCTATTCCGTGCGGAATTCCGAAATGCTTGAACTGTTATCTCTTGAACAGTTGAACTAGTAGGTCTAAAAATACGAATTTAATACCAAAATATTTGTTTATATTCAAAGATTGTTAATTTGTAATTATAATTATATGGCCACCTGAGGTCACACAGCGCTTAGATAAAACGATTCAGTGTTGGTCACCATACAGCCGCCGGGTGCTAACTTTTAAAAAGTAATTCACATTCAAAAAGGTTCAAGATAAGTGATGAAAGTGTAGTTAGGGGATTATTGGAAGAGTCTGATGATGATTTAAGTTCATTCAATGAATTTAATGAGGACAATTACACATGCCTCCAAACTCGTCAGGCGATAGTGGATAGTTCTGGTAAATACAATTATTATATTATGTATCAACTATTATATTTTATATTACATAGGCATAGTAGATTGATACTAAAATGTAAAAATGTAAATGTTTATTTTTCTAAAAAAGGAATTGTAGTTTGAACCAAACAAAGAATTAATAAAGCTTAATATAAAAAATAATTTAAATACCACCTTATCATACCTAGTATGGTTTTATTTTTAAAATTTAATTTTCCAAACAACTTTTTTGTATATTAAATATTTAAAATCGATGGTATTTCAGATAGTAGTGAAACAAACGAAGCATGGAATGACTTAATAAACCAAAACCAAACACACTTTTTGTTCGAAAAAAATCAGTCTAAAAATTGAAATTTTGCACGATGCAACAATTTGGAAGTATTTGAACTTGTTTATAACTGACGAAATAATTAATTTAATGGTTGCAGAAACGAATAAAAATGCTGATCAGGTGTTGTCCAAACATCGATTGACTAAATCTAGTAGATTTTGTGGGTGCCTACCAATGATGTTGAGATCTAACAGTTTTCTTAGGTTTACTTATGTGGATATGGGTTGGTCTAAAACCCTAGTTTAAAAGATTATTGGAGTTTGAAGATGTTATATAAAATTGTGTAACAAAAAATATCATGTTAAGAAATTGATTAGAGTTGATTATCTGTTTTGGCACATTTTTCTGATAACAAGCTAGCTCCTGAAACTGGTAGAATTTTTAAAATTTAAATCTGATTGTAAAAATGGTTCATAACTTTCAAAACATAACAGAACCAGAAGACATAATGGCTGTGAACGAAACTAGGTATTGTTCCATTTCGGGGATTATTAAAATTCAAACAATATATTTCTGGTAAGGCACATAAGTACGGTGTTAAAATATTTAAAATTTGTGGGGTCAACGGGTATACATATAATATTGAAGTTTAGGGAAAAGCCAAACTGATGGAAGAAGTTGCAGAGTTGTTGTATATTTGAGTTCCACATATTTAAATTCTGGCAGAACTATTATAACACATAATTTTTATACATAGCTTAATTTAGCCAGCGAGCTTATAGAAAAAAAAAAACGCATTTGATCGGTACATTAAGATCCAATAGAGTTAAACTCCCAGATGTTACAAAAGCTAAGATAGAACCAGAACAAATAGTAGGAAAATTAAATTAAAATGGTATTGTGGTTGCCAAATGGCATGACAAAAGTGATGTCACCGTGTTATCTACTTAAAAAAATAAAATGTTTTTTTTCTTAAATAATATGATTATGATATGGTTATTGAATTTAATATAAAGATCATTACTACAGAGCCAACAAATGTATTCCTAAGTAAAATAATATGAGAAATGCGGCCTAAAATTCTTAATTCATAACTATATTTTTGTGGCCGCTGGCGGTCAACGTGTTAATAAAGCACCCCTCGTCATAAAACTGAATCCCATGGCACTGACCACAAGATACAATAGCAAACAATCAACACACGGTGGTTGAAATGACTGTAAACATCAAGAGCGTCAAAATAAAAACGAGACACGGATTGATTCGATAGCATTGTAACGTTTTACACCGATCTCTTTTACCTTTTGTAACGGGACGCCTGATAGTGATGTGCGACATATCATCAATGACTGATGGAGGTGGCATATCGTCAACGGATGGTTTGGCCGGCTTCTGAGCGACTTTCCTCTTTGGCGCCATGGTGATTTCTGGTGATGTAGTGATGGATGATCAACGGAGTGGAGGTGCGCGATTAGCTGTGATAGGCACTAGACATAGACAAACAAATTAAGTCAATGGCTCGTAAAATTCCCAGTACCTATGCCGAACACGACATACAAACATACGTCATGAGTACCTTTTAAAGTGGCGGCAGATATTGGCGTTGACTGTAGTTGGTTCACCACGAACACGCGGGACTCGGATGTCAGGGAGACGGTCTGCTGTCTGCAATCTGACCCACGGCGTGGCTGGCTGAAAACAACTGAAAATATTAACGGCCGAATAAATGTGGCGAAAACCTAAACTGACAGGAACCTGCGAACAACGACGACAAGTGCGAACAAAAGCTACCTTTGACGGCGTGCCGCGTGCGTGCTAGAGTGTGGTGATTGGCGAATCACGAATGCCGAACGGCGTTGATGGACGTCTGACGAACGGTGCAAAGTGCAATATTGTGTCGATTGTGCGAACGGACAACGGTTATTTGGCCGTCGAAAACTTTATAATGGAGCGAAATTACCGTGATACGACAGATTTTCATGCCGTACTTTTACAGAGCTGCCACAACCCCGGCCGTCGCACCGATGTCGTGGATCGCCGATGTGTCGCGATGCCGGGGCCGTGGTGGTGTCGCCCGTGTACGTCGAGCGCGGGAATTCGGTTAAAATTTGACACAATATTATACAATACCGTGAAACCGATATTTGTCAATACATATTATTGTCCTCCGGGACGCGATTTTTCATTTGCCGATCGCGCACATTCAAATTCCAAAGTCGATATCACTTTGGTTTTATTATTACCGGTAACGGCTAGCCTGTTCGAAAGGCGCTTGTTGTTGTTATTGCTTGGCGAATGGTGATATAAATAGAACTATGCCGTTTTTGACGTTTCGCGGCCGAGCACTATCGCGGGCATTCGTTTTTATCGTTATTGCGATTAGTGATATCTGCCTGTGATCGTCAAATACCGCCGACTTTTCAAATAGTCGAGGTCATACGCAGACTCTGCAGAGTCGCGATTTCAGTGTATTATTTTTAAAATTAAGCCGGGTTCACTTTCACAGCTACGTTTTGTCGAGTGATTTTTTTGTATTCAGATTGGCCATTGTAGTCATAGTCGTTCTAGATTCACTAACTATGAACTACGAGGAAATTTCCGGAGTTGGGCTTAGTACAACTTTCGGACTCATTATTATGTACACTATCGACTCCGCCGTTTTAATATCAATTTTGCCGGCTATCAATGCCACCAGATTTTTGTTTATGTTGATTCCGCCGGTTATTTATTTATGTTGATTCCTCCGACTGTTTATTAAACAATAACCGAAGTATCATATTATACAGAATTTTTTTGTTTTTAATTAACAGTATAAGTTAGTGTACATTTAGTTTACCAAAATAGTATAAAGTAAGTTTTATTAAAATAAAATAATTTCAAAAAACAATTCAAACATTGCCGTCATCCTTTATGAGGACGTTTCACCCGCATTTGTTGTCTCCGTCTTACACACTTACGGCATAGCAAAAACTGTGAAAGAACCAAGAAGGTTACAGTCATAACTATAAGAAACGAACTTTTCACCACATTAAAAGGAGAACTTTGGCTGTGCAATATCGTTTTTATTTTTTCGTTATCTGAACTTCAAAAGAAGTTATTAAAGTGTAAAAAATACAAATAATAATGGATTTTGAAATAATAAGAACTTTTTTCGTACACGTGATATCAAAAAAATAAATACGATATTGCACAGCCAAAGTTCTCCTTTACATGTCGTGAACATTTCGTTTCTTAGTTATGACTGTAGCCTCTAAGGTTCTATCCATCGCAAAACACTTTTTGGTATGCCGTACGTGTGTAAAATGTAGACAACACATGAGGGTAAAACGTCTTCATAACGGATAATATTTACTAAAATAATAAAATAATATAGGTAACTCAAATATCTAGTGATTATTATTTTTACAAAATGGAGTAAGATTGTCATATTTTTAAATAGAGTTATATAATATATTATTCAAAATAATTAAAATACCAATATAGGCATTGATACGCATTGTATAATAAATTGGAATTTCAAAAAAGAAATTGTAGGGTCGATTTTCAAGCTATTGCATTCTAAAATAGAACACCACCACATTTTAAAAAGTATGAATGTGTAACTTATTAAATTAATTATTTATAAGTACCTAAGAAACTCAAGAATAATTAATTAATAACAATCACAAACTAAGATATAATTATGCCAGTTCATTATATCTTAGTCCATGATTTACAACCATGAAATGATTTGAGAAAACCTCCACCGAAGTGTGGTTCAGATTACCAAAATTAAAATTAAAATAATTAAATGTGACGCCAGTTACATCATGTTGTTATTTGTATATTTTGGGGTAGGTAGATTACACTATTACATAAGCACTTAAATTTACCTATATATATACCTAATTGTGGCGCAAATTACAAGTAGGTACTAAAATTTGCGCAAAATACCATCTCCCAGCGAGACCAGTATGTACATAATATACTACCAAAAGGGTGACGGCATGGGAGGGTGGCTAATAGGGCAATAACCTTAGCCCAGTAACCCCTGAGATTTTGTTAACTGTACGTAATTTAATAGCATGCATAATATGACATAACATATTATAGTAGGTATTAATACAAATTATTTTTGGCATGTATACTGTATAGCGGGTTTCTTACAAAAAATAAAATAATTATTATAATTGGCTATAATTTTAGAAATGTATTTTATATTTGGTCAAAACAACCCAAATAAGTGTATTAAAATTTTTGTAGTATTTACACTTAACGAAGTTTATGAAGGGTATTCTGGGTATATATCGTATATCCGTGGGCAATCCCGTGCAGAATCAGCTAGTATATGTAGGTACCTACTTCCTATACATACATAGCTATATTATGCATTATGATTTATGCCTCTATGACTGTATAGTATAGTATGCTTATGCCTTAAATAAGTTATATTATAATATATAGATTTATAGCACAATACGATTAACACAAAAACAATCATTTCCATTCAAATTCACATTATAAGAACAGGTGACCTATAGGTGCCTATAGGTACCTATCGAATAACAAAAATTACGATTAGATTCGTTTCTGTAATCCCCACTACCTACCTACCTACAGATAGCATTGCATTACTTCAATGTGTACATTTAAATGACCCGGTGTCCATTAGGCCATACACGAATACACGATATTAGTACATATACTGTTAACACTATACGTCTTTAGATTACTGCATGTCTGCATATAAGTAACTACCTTATTGACTATATTTTTATTACATAGAACATTAATATTAATTATATATTTTATTGAATTGTCTAGATTTCAGTGGTTAAAGCAAATTGTATAAAGTGATTTGGATACGATCATAAAGGTAAGCGTTTCTGAATTGAAATACAATTTAATTTAAATACAACTGAATAACACTGACTTGAGTATACTGACTACTGACTACAGTGTAACTCTACCTATAATACGAATAATACAAATAATACGATTAGAGATAATTGCAATTTTAAAAACTTCTATTGAAGTTGTTGATGACCTATGACCTAACCTCGTCGATACATTTAATAGAGTCAAACAAATTTAATATTATTTATTCCTATTTACACGCTGATAGATACATAGTAATAACTAATAACCATAGGCGTAATATATGTGCAGAAAAGTGAGAGAGTTCCCCCTGACATTTTGTAGTGGAGCGACAATAAAAGATATCATTTTAGGATGTATCCTGTATTCCTGTCTTAAGTAGACGTTACAGTGGCATTTGCTGTCTCTGTCTTACAAGTGCGTAACGTAGCAAATTTTACTCTCAGCAGAACACGTTTATCTTAGTTGGTTTAAAAATTAGAGCGAATTAACCTCTTATACAATTTAAAGGTAAGATTATTATCTAAAAAAAGACATAGGTTTTTCTTATTATATTTTAATTTTCAAGTGAGTTATGAGTATTTAAGATGTACAAACTACAAACAGTTTACAATTTTAAAATACACATAACTCGCTTTAAAATTAAAATATAATAAAAAGGCTATGTCATTGTCTAGATCAGCGTTTCCCAAAATGTTTTTGATGGGTCGTGACTCGCGGTCACGATTACGCTTATTTCAGTATTTTTGTATTTTTTTATAATTTTTTTTTATTTATTTATTATGTATTATACTATTATGTATCAAGAATTGTATTTTATAAAAATTCAAAGATAAAATTAATTATAATAAAAATATTATTTATTTAGGGCATACTTGATTTTTTTTTTAGCAGGGGGTCTCGTACCCAATAAATTTTAAATTTATGGGTCGCCATTGCAAAAAACCACTGGTCTAGATAATAGTGTTACCTTTAAGTTTTATAAGAGCTCAATTCGCTCTAATTTTTAAACTTACGGACTACGGAGATAAATTTGTTCTTATGAGCATAAAAGTTGCTATGTTACGCGCTTGTAAGACAGAGACAACAAATGTCACTGTAACGTCCCCTTAACTCATATTTATTGTATGTTACAAGTTACAACACATATTTTTTCTAAGCTTTATGTTTGAGCTTGAATATTATTTTCCTGTGTGTGCGTGTTATGTAATTAGACAATAAAATATTTATATTTTATCCATAGGTATAGTTGATACCTACACTTAAGGTTATGCTCATTATAAAATATGGATAGTAGGTACTATAATTTAATATATTTTCACTAATTTTACAACTCAACAAACCTTCAAGGATTACTAAAGATTTAATATTTGCTAATAGGTAAATTATATGTGAGGTAGAATTATACTAGAATGGTGTCACCGGTTCCCCACTTTATTTTTAAACACAAATGTCCAATTATAGGTATAAATAAAAAGTATTTTTATATTTTCCCCTTCTCCTTTCAAATAAAAACAATTCCAAATTATGCTGATTGCAATAAATTAATAAAACTAGCTAAT